CGCAGCATATATAATTTTTAACGACACGGATGCGATGAAAAAGAAGTGAAAATGAATTCCTCATTATGTACGAGCTCGCGATAATTAGACATTCCGAGTCACATTCTGATAGAATCATTTAAATTCGCATCGAAATTCGGCGAACGAAACGGCGAGATTTCAAGGAAAGACTGTGATGCAAAACGTGCGCTTGAAAAAAAAAAAAAAAACGCCGTTGAGAAATACGGCGGAGGAATCCGCATCTTTTCTCGAGGAGAGCGCAGGAGGAAAAGGTGGATAATAACATGGTTACCGCGCATTACTACTTCCCTGCGCGAGTAGCTAGTCACGGTTGCGGACTGCACTGTATACGGCATCTAAATAATATTATTCGTGCACGTGCAGTGGCGTAGCGCGGAGTCACATCCTCGGGGTATCTCTCTCTCTCCTTTTCTCTCTGTCTGTGGTTCCGAGTGATTTCGCTTTTAGAGCGCTTTTCCCCTTCAGTTTCCTTGACTCCTTTCCAAACAGAAAAAAAGAGAGAATCGCGGCCTTTCAGAATTTGATATAGTCGCGAAGCATATTCTGAATGAGAAGTTTTGTAGGTTCGAGTCAATCCTTCGCCAGGCAGGAAATCGCGAGTCGATGTTGCACGCGAGATATTGCTCGCCAATTATACGGTTTTCCGCAAGGCACTCGCGGCACGTTCCACCGTTCTCTCGCGTCGACACTTTTGAGGAGCGCAGATAATCGCATTCTTACGAGGTCGAGAAGCGTCTTCGTCTCGGCCGTCCAGGTGTGTGCGTGTGGCAACGGTTTACCTAAACGAGAGAGGACGAAGGTCCGTCATTCGACATTGCGGTTCACGGCCTTGTGCATTGTGACGCGTGACATACGACCGCCAGGTATAGCGGCGACGGCGGCCGCGGCGACGACGACAGAAAAATTTGTTCAGATAGCCGAAGAGAACGATGACGTCGCATATAGGTCAGTGGGACGTCGCGTGAATGCGTGAAATCGCAAGTCAACGACCTACCCGATGACCCGCTGACTTAGAGACACGTTTACTCGCGGGTCTGTGGGACGCGGATGAACTCGATCACCCCGTATACCGACGGCGGGACGAGTCTCTTTGTCCGACGGAAAAGTATGCAAAGTATGAAAAGCGGTGAGGAACGCTCGCGGCTGCTCATTGCGGGAGGGCACGGCTAATTATGCCGCGGCCGCGAAGAATTTCACGAGAGCCGGGAGAGGGAGCAAGAATATCGGCGCGTTTCATCGTGGAAACTTCGAAAGTAAAATCTACCGGGCACGGCTGCAGAATTTTTGCACTCGCGGAAACGCAATTTCACGCACACCACAACGTTGAAGTCCGCAGGGAAAGGTAAATCGATATCTTCATTATCGTCCTACGGCAATATTTCCTCTAAGGAAATTATTAGGACGATTTATTCGCTAATTTTTTTTGGTTATTGCTACAGCAGAAAGTAATTATAATATTCTTCGAATTTCTTGAAATGAAATCTCATTTAAAACGAGTGAAAAGTGGTGAATATTTTCACTCAAAGCGATGGTGAAGATTCTGCCGCTCGAAATAGCAAAAGTGAACGTTTCACTCAAACTTAGAGTGGACTCAGGCTCCTTAAGAATTTTTCAATCAATCAGAGTGAATATGCTCCTGTAATGATTAAATACATCAGATGTACTCTTCAATTTTGAGTAGAAATGTTCACTTGACGACTCAGAATAGAGAATTTACTCTGTATGAGCAGAAAATCACTCAAATTTGACTCGGTAGTCATTCTATTTTTTTAATGAAACTCAAAATTTCACTACAAGAAATTTAGAGAATAGTTTAACAAAAAATTAGTCATGAAAAAGGGAAAAGCAGAGAAATTAAATGTAAGTAAGAAGAAAAAAGAATATACACACCAGATTCTGAGACTATCCTCTGCGTATTATAGTTCTAAAGATAATAAAAATAAAATTAAAAAATTTTCAGATTAAAATAAGGAACATTTTACCGTAAATTTTTTCAGGGAAAGAGAGAGAGAGAGAGATTCCACGAGGAAGTTACTCTTTCATCGAGGATCCACCGCAGTATACATATCTGGGCATAGCGTTGCCTCACGGCACGCATTGAGCAAGATAACGCGGGGATTTTGCAAGCTGTGTCGCTTGGATTGCAGACGGCCGTTTTTAAAAGTTACTACGAAGCGTGAAGCAGATGCGAGGGGGCGACCGGTGGTCGCCCCTTACACCGGAAGCCGTTCTTACGACACCTTTCTCCCCGTTTCTCGCGTTCTCGCCGGCTAGTCGTCGGAAATCGAGACGCGGGTAGCCCCGCGTTACCGATGGTGCTAAAGGTCACGAGAAAAACAACGCCGTGTATTGTAAGAGTGAATTATTTCCGTGATAAGATCGGCACGAGTGCCGACTACATTGTGAATTGCGCTCGCGCGCGTGAGAGACGAGATATTACTTATATAGTTGATGTGGCGAAGCATGACGGAACTCAAGGTGGATTCGCGCCAATGGTGTGCCATTTAACGAATCTACGTGTCCAGTTTGATGATAGAAACTAGGAATATTGAAGTTTGATACGATATACACATATTTTGCGTCACCCCTTCGCGAATTTAACACGTTGACCGTTCAACTCGAATGCAGAAACAAAAGTTGCCTGGTCGTGTGAATATATGGGAAAATTTTATCTCTTCTATATGAAACGATCGATCAAAATACGTTCATTCAATACACGTTCAATAGACATTCAAAGATGTCTTTTCATTTGCGAGTTCTGTATACATTACTACACAGAGAAAAACATAATTCTGTTACTAAGAAAAGAGATTATTTAATGTATTTCTTTTAAGTAATAGTTATCTCCAATAAATAGTCTTAAGATGTACACTGAGAATGCTTGAAATTTTATTTGTGGGATTTATTACTGTGAAATAAAGTTTATTTCTATGAAATAAATTTTATTTCTGTCAACAAACTTTGTATTCCACAAATGAATTTTCAAATATTTTTTCTTCAGTGTGCTCACATAAGTCTGGGAAAAAATCGTTATCATATACTCAAGAGAGAAGGATTTATTCTCTTTAGAGAATATTATAAAACTGTATTGAGAAAAAAGTTGATTTCACTGTACGTAAGTAAGCAAACTAATTTTTGTTTTAATTTAATGTTTTTGAGTCTACTAAAGTATTAAATTTATTAGGATTTTCAGAATGCTTATTTTTAACGAATTTGATACTTATGGTGAGTTTATGATATATTTGTGGATACATAAATTTATAAAATACTTGAAGCAAGTAACATTCATTTGAATATAGTATGTGTTTTTCTGTATATGATACACTTGCTTCTAACAAGTTATAAGTTATCTATAGCTGCGTTCGTTTTGGCGCTTACAATGCTCTGAGCATCATTTCATCCTTGTTTCTATCAAATACTAAACAAGGACAAATAATGCTTACACGCGCTATAAGCGCCAAAACAAACGCAGCCTATGTCAAATGCATCGCATTGGTGAATACATTCCAATGTAATTAATGTATCAATTTTGAAAAAAACGTGAATGTACGTTACCGAATAAGTTTCGTCTATTAAAAGAAAATATTATTTTTTGAAATCAGAATTTGACAGGTTTGATTTGATCGATAGTGCTTCGCATACATGCGATAATGTAATAATTGACGAAGTCAACGAAATGCACTGAGCGAAGGGACAACAACCCCCCATTAGTTTGGCGATTTTTCCCCACCTCGATAGGAATAGCGGACTAATGTAGAGTTAATATCACGGTACAAGATAGAAAATACAGGATCAATGAATCACTTTCACCAGGGGGAATATTTACGATCAAGATAATCGCCGATCGCGAAATCCTGCTTTACTTCAATCGAACGACGATTTATCGACGCGTCGAACCTCATTCGTGCATGCATCGACTTAAACCGGCCGCACCGTAGTCGTTAGATCACGTCGCATAAACGACGCGCTTTGGAAAAGGGAATGAAAAAAGGGGGAAGACATTTCAGCGTTGAGTATGCATTCCAGCTTCCTTAATGGCGACGGCAAAGACTATCGCGCATTCCAGAGGATACGTGTGCCCACGTGTGCGTGTACACGTGCACACGTGAGCTCGCGTGCGTCGCGTGCGCGTACGCGGCAGGAATTCTAGCGGAGAGCCGCCCCGAGACGTCCCAGCATCGGCATTTGACAAAAGAAAGGCTCGCTAAAGGCGTCGTAGAAATTAAGATCTTTACGACTAAAGTAGCGGTGGCCGCGCGAATACGCGAGAGATAGCGTGGAATGACATGCGCGAACGAAGTAACGAAGTGAACGATCGATGGCTAACGGTGCTCTAACCGTCAACTTATCTTGCGCGACTTATCTCGCAAGAACGCAAGATCTATTTATATATCTAAGTTGTTAAACACCTGTCGGTTTTTCTAAAGTCTTTTTCCAAATCCTTACAAATTCAGCGCGTTATTCATTTATTCATTACTTCTTTGACGGGATCATAATCCCTTTTGTTTGTACATAAAAAATAGAAAATAATAAGATAAATAAAAAGAAAACACAATTGCAATAGAGAGAAAAAATCTATCTGCTTTCCAGGTGAAATATCCAACAGATATGTCCTTTCCGATGCAAATTTAATTAATTTTATTCCTAATTTAATTTAATTTTTAAATTCAATTTATTTTAATTTAATTTAATTTTTTATTTAATATATTTTAATTTAATTTATTTTAATTTAATTTATTTTCAAATTCAAATTTTAATATTTTTATTAATATTTAATTTTTAATTATATTTTAACATTTAAACTTCAAACATTGTATGTGTGAAAAAATTATTGTCAGATATTCAATTTGTTCGCAACAGGATGGAATCATCGGAATCAATTTGTAATTGAATACTAAATTCGAATACTGTTCGGAGAAGCAGTTGCGAGTCTTATTAGAAGACTTCGGGTTATGAGTATTGATTAGAAAGTGACTCACCAGGAATAACTTCGCCGTTGAACGTCATCTCCACTAAATGCGTGACCGCTTCATGTGGCACGAACGATGCCAAGAAACGCTGACTGCCTAGCGCTCTCACGAAACTGGTAACGTGACCTCCGTTCACGAGGATTTCCAAGTTTCCGGAGCCGGCTCTCGATCCATCGACTGATGAACAAAACCGCTCTCATTAGCCGATGCACTTACACGACATTGCAACGTTACAGAGGCAAATACGTACTTTCAAATTCCACAGGCTGGTTCACCACTCCGTTCGGGATGTTCCCAACTTGTATAGCTCGGGCGTTATACGCTTGTGACCTGAAACCCATATAAAAATTGTTAGCATATATACGATAATTAGACAGATATAAATGTTTTCGATTAAATCAACATCGACAACTATTAAAATAAAAGATTCACTTTAAATTCCCAAGTTTAATTTCACAAAAATCGATTCCATTTCAGACGATCCCATACATATTCTTTATTATTCTTTAATATGATATTAAATATTGTGACACACGAATCTCGAATTAATATTACTGCCTCGGAAAATAATATTATTAGGTTGGTGTAAAATATTTGTCAAATGAAATAGAAAACACAATTATCCAATTTTAAAGAATTTATAATTTTTACGAGTAAAATAAATATCGACTTGAGTTTCTAGACATCTCTCTGACGAGAACTTTTTATTTTTCTTTTAATACTTGAATCTCCTACAACAAACTTTCTTAGTAAAAAAAACGATATACCTTTTACATCTACTTGATATATTAATGAATTATAATATCCCAAACTATGGTAATTAAGAAAAAAAATTGCAAGACTCCCGCATAATAAAATTTAAAATATGACAAAATATGCCACAAAATATATTAAAATAAACCTGATATAAGAAAGTTAACGTGACGCGTTAACTAAAATTCACACTGAAACGAAAGCGTCGCGTTCACAACGTATACAGACCTGAAGGGAGATCCCTTAATATGTTGGCCGTTCACGAGAACTTGGATCACGTGCTCGCCGACTTCTTCAGCGGTAATGGTATATGTCAAGCCTCGCAGCTTTGACCGGCATCTTTGTACCGGCACGCTCTTGCCGTTTGGACCTGCGTAAATGAACGAGAAAGCGATCAAGCATTCACGACACGTTCGTCGTCAAGCAGCGTTGAACAAGGAATCGTCGTCGCATAGGCACTTACCAGTGACGGTGACGGACACCTTATTGGGATCCACGGCGGAAGCGATACTGAAAGTGGTTGGCCGGTGCACCGGCAGCGTTTCCAGCGCGCTTCCGGTAGCGATGACCGAGCCCTTGCCGGTCGATGCGGGCGTCGACACATAGACGGAACTGCCGTTATTCAGGTAGCGATCGTGCGCAGCTGTGTCCGTCGTGTCTACGCCCTTGTTGTTGCCATAATAGTTGTTATTCTTGTTCTTCAGGATGCCATGCGTGCGGGTGTGCTGCTGACCATCGTTACTGTACTTCTGCCCTGTACCGTAGTCGGGACTCGACGATTTCTGTAGAGTCGAGTAACTCGTCGTGGTGTGCGACGTCATGTTCTTCGTGGTATTGTTGGCGGTGGTGGTGGTGGTGGTGGTGGAATAGCTCTGTGCGTTCTTATAATTATTATTGAGGAAATTATTCGGACTTCCGGCGCCGGCATTGTCGGCGTTCGGCGAATTGTTGGTCAGATTCGCCAAGGACTCCAGACTGCCGTATGACAGCAACGAACGCGTCTTGGCGATAGCGTCCCAGGAATCACGTCTGGAAGTGCCGCCGACCATCGACGACACTCGTACGTTGCTGCTGGTGTCCACAACACCGTTGTCCTTGTCGCCGCTGCGCGGGCTGAAGCTGCGATTCACTGGACTCTGTGTGGCGCTTCGGTACATCATAGGACTGCGGGTCGGAGAACGCGATCTCTTTAGAGATTCTGAGCTATAGATGTTCCGGGACTCTTTGATAATCGGAGAATGACGCGAACCGAGCGGCGTAGTCGGGCTCAGGTTCGGCGAACGCGATCTGTTGAGTGTGCTGGACGAGTAGATGTCTTTAGATTCCTTGATGAAGCTGGGACTCTGCAGATTTGGTGACCTTGAGTGCTGATTGTATACGTTGCTGTTGCTACTGTAGATCTCCTTCGTCTCTTTCAGCACTGACGGACTGTGCACGTTTCTTTGCACAGGACTGTGATTGAGGTTCGGCGAACGAGTGCGGTTGAGAGAACTGGTGCTGTGGTACATCGAGCTGCTGGAGTTCTCGTTGACGTAGTTGCCGCTGGACGTCTTGTAGGTCGGGCTGGTCTGATGGACGGGCGAGTAACCACGCTGCGTCGGACTGATAGACTTATACGCGGTAGACGTGTAGATCTTCTGAGTCGGGCTGGACCTCTCCGTCGCAGAGACGTTCAGTCCATTCATCCGTCGCTCCAGAGACGACACCTTCGATCGCTCCAGACTGGACGTGGACTCCTTCGACCGTTTGGAGCCCTTCTGCGTGCCTACTCGTATAGAGAACGGTGAGCCGCGCACGTCCGAACCGTTGAAGTACACGTACACCCTGTACTTGCCGGCATCGCCGGGAACGAAGGATACGCGATACTGCATGTGACCAAAGTCTTCCATCCTGTAAGTCACTGACTGTTTATCATGCACTATGTCGATGATCACGTCGCCGAGCCCGCCGGTCCCTCTCGCGTCGACGATGAAGGAAAACGGTTGTCCGGGCATGGCGCCGTCGGTGTCCAAGAGCTACAAAGAATTACAAAATTAATTTTAGTGATTATGTAGCATATAATAGAAATTTGTTGAAAGTAATAGAATATAAATAGATATAAATTGGTTGAAAATAAAAGCGGATATTCGTAAATTCAGTTCTTAAAACATCTCGGCTTTTCGCGTCGTAAAAGTTTGTCGCATTTTCTAAATTCATATTTCACGAAAAGATATCTTTCTATGAGATTTACAAAGATTCTGTAACAGATTTATGAAACAAACATTTCGGTAGCTCTACGTGTGATCAATTGACAATGACAAACAAATCATGCTACATTGATCCTCGATACCTTGATTCCGTTAGGGTCGAACACGAAGCAAGTGAAAGGGCCGCCTTGTATGTGATTTCCTTTATGCGTTATCGCGATGCTCCATTCCCCCGTCTCGTCGGGCTGAAAAGTTGCCGTGTGTACGCCGTCGTTTTCTTTGACGGGGCACGGCAATGATCTGCCGGTCGGCGACCATGCGGTCACGTCGATACCATCATGACTAGTTCCTGAAAGTGAAATTTCAATATCTCGAGCGTGTTCGTTCGAGCGTGTAGAAAGAAGTACTTGCGATGTACCAGCACGTACCGTAACTATTGACTAGAACCTCGACGATAGACCCTATGGCGCAAGGATCCATGCCCGGAGATTTGATTTTCGTTAGGGGCGGCAAGACCCTGAAGTAATAAGGACACCCGTTCACCAGCTCGCCGTCGTTGTATACCATCAGCTGCATGCAATAATGTGATTTCAGTGATACAGAAACTATTTGACATCGCACGATATCTAAATCTTGAAAATCTTGAAGATGGAAGATACAAAGATGGAAAAGAAGACGGATAAGAGAGATAAAATAAGCTTAAAATTTTGACAGATTCGACATACACGATCTCAAAGATTTTCGAACTCGAAATTTTCCTACAGAGGATCCATTCTGCACGAAAGTAGCACGTGATTTTTTAATACTTTCACAACTGTTCCGACTACGCTGCGCCTTCTACGAACCTTGTGCATGCCGACTTCCGTAGGCACAAAAGTGCCTTTTCCGTGAACTCCGTTCCACGTGAGCCTGCACTCGACACGTCCGCTGGGGCTGATGATCTCGCCGCGCACTTCTCTCGCGTTTGCATCTTTGGTCAGCATCTCTAGCTTAAAGTGTGCCTGCAACAGGATCGTATAATCTCTCTTAGTATCGCAGTAGCACACACGATCGGCGGCTCCACGGTGTCGAAAGCTTCGCGAATGAGGCGAACCGTCGACTGAGCGAGTCCTTAAGATCTCCAAGGCGGGACCGAACGAGCGACTACGACGTGGCGAAAATTCGTGAGCGCTGATTAGCCGCGCGAAGGCGTAATTAACAAACAATGACTTAACCAACCGGCTGTTGCGCTCTGGCGGATGTGCTGTCGATGTGTACGGCAATCTGCTGGCTCGCCTGAGGGCGAGGCTTCACCCACTGAAAGTACGCGGCGTATGCCATTACGCCTAAATGCTCTACATTCTGGTCCGCCATATCTTTCGCTTTCAGAATAGGCTCCACGCCCAGTTTCTTGCCGCCGTCGATACCTGGCAGAGAATACGTGCGATTAATTTACGGCAGACCGGGTCTCGCTAACGTGTCAGTCCTTTCTTCAAATTTTCCTTGTATTATCAAATTAATCTGATTTCATGTTATGTGTATATCGAGAGAACTCGTTAGAATTTATACAATCTTTATTATGAAAAGTCTATATGACATTTTTTGGGATCTTCTCGATATCTTCCTATTTTTTATTTTGTTTAATTTTTATCTCTTTCTCATTGATGTTTTATTAAAATAATAGAACGTTCTTATCAAACGTTGTCGTAAAAGTACTCGTGACTCATCGCGGGTTGCTTTACCCATTTGTAAATTGTGTTCCCACATGGAAGGGTCGGTGTCGAGTTTCTCGTAGGGTGGCGCCGGGCCACCTAGATTTCGGACGATTCCGCACAGTGCTCTACCGTCGTTCCAGTCCGTCTGCAAGCGGAATAATTGAGTATCACCGTGAGATATCGTGGCGGAGTACGGTTAAACCGGGACGCCGCGGCTCCACCCACCGTGAAGTTCCGTATCGAGGTATGTGATAATTGCGAATTGACCCATCGTAGCGTTGCGTGGAAGCCCGGCGAGCCTTCCTTCATGAAGTACGATAAGTAGGTCATTCCCGAGAGCTCGTCCAAGTACGGCGAGGCGAGGTAGTCCGGCTCCAACACTATGGGAATATCGAACTCCCGTTTCGACATCTCCATAGCCTTGCGGCAATTATAAACGCTGCAAAATTAACATAACGATCGCGATCCTGAGTCGACAATGCGAATTACGTAAAAAAGGGAATTATCGCGCCATCACTTCGCGGTAACAAGTAACAGGATATTCTGATGCACATTCGATTTCAATACGATGTGAACACCATTTTCACGCAGCTCGGAGCTGATGTTCAATGGCAGAATTTGTTCTTGAATAATTCGCAAGATAAATTCTCTCATTGGACAACGACTACATCCTGAACTACAAAAAAGCTCAAGATATTTGAGCACCCACCATAAGTTTCCGCGAATTTCGCGTTCGCGTTGATTATCTTAAATAAAAGTTTGCTAAGTTTGCTTGAATATCTTGGGAACTAAGCTTCAGACATCTGTTATTCATTCACATCCTCGCTTGTGATTACTTAATTGTCACAAGATCCTTCAAGCATTAACATTAGATTAATCTCTCAACTATCAACGACCTCGCCAAGGTTTCACCTCGCAAGTATTACAATCTCTTTCCTTCTGCTCTTCCTCTCTCCTAATGACTGAACGTTCGGTGAAACGTTCGAACTATTCCACGTGTATTTTACCTGTCGTTCGGATCGAGCTGTCGCCAATGAGGGAACAGGCCGGGGTTGCAGTAGTCCAAAAGCGCGCTCAGGTACACGCCGGAGTTCCAGTCGGTCGTGAAGTTATTGACTCTGCATTCCGGTAAGACAGCCTGAAGACAGAATCGCTCTTGGATATTAAGGCGTAGTCTGTAAATTATCCACTCTAACTTCTCCCAGTTATTAACGCTAATTAATATAACGGTTAATGGATATATGTGAACGATATATATTAGTGGGTCAAGCACGCGTATGAATTACAAAGCGATCGTTTCCCGCGATTTATAACGCGTGATATTGCGCCGCATCGACGTCGATTTCAGCGTGCGTCCATTCAACGCTAGATCGACGTTTCCCTGAGTTCTTTCATAGATGGGAATACGCTCTCACGTAATACACGTAATAACGCAATCCACACATACGGAGGAGACTACAAGCCTGAGTGAAGTAATCGCCGCCGTTTCTGGATTTAGTTTACAGCCAGCGATGCAGCGGCCGCCGAGGTCGCGCGCGTTGCAATTATACCGTGTACTGACCTTGAGCCATGCGAGCATGAGTTTCCTCGGCGGGAACTTGGATTTGCCTATTTGATAGCGCACAATCAGCGACCATATCAGGCCCAGGATCAGCTTCAGGTTACCGTTTACGATGTCCACGTTACCTGAAAGCCGAGGAAATCGTCTTGAATGCTTTACTCTCAAATATAGCGCGCATGAAACGGTACAACGAGCAGGAAGAAAATCAGTTGGATTTATTGTCGGCCTAAATTTCTTCTTTCTAAAAAGAACAGTTGCGCGTCGGAGAAGTGATTTAATTCGCGGGAATCTGCAAAGAAGAGAAAAATTAAGAAGGAGAGAGGGGGAGAGGCACGTATGCGTGTTTAAGCGGCATCATTCCGCAGTCGTAATTGCACAGGAAGGATTTACGATGACTCCGGGAAACAAGTCGGTGGATATTTTATTCTCCACAGCACAGTAAGTCACACATCGCCTGGATTTTAGTCCTGCGCGAGTGCGCGTGTTTATAGAAAGCGCACGCGTCAATTGTGAGAGAAGCACAGGTGTTTTCGACACTTTCGACGAGTGTTTCTTTAACGGATTCACAATTCCACCACAGTCGTCCCAGATTCTCACTTCCAAGCACGATTCTTGGATCCTCCGAACAGTGAGCCTTTAATCGTGCAGATCCTCAGTCTCTGGTCTCTTTCATCCGTCAAAAAGCGAAACGTGAAAGAAAAGGCGATTTACATCTTGGGTATAACAATTTTAATAGAAAAGTTCAAGTCAATAATAAAATATTAAACAAAATAGTGATGTCAAATTTTTTTACTAATAAGATATGTGGTTTCTTCCGAGACAATGTTAATTCTGATGAATTCTGATGACGAAACATTCGTGGCCGAGCATGAAGAATCGTTCTAGAAATGCAAGAAAGATGATGGTTCACGCTGTTGAAGAAAAGTTGTTTACAGCAGCGTCAATCACCATCTTTACTGCATTTCTAGAACGATTCTTAAAACATTCTTCATGCTCAACTATGAATTTTTCATATTCTCTAGAATTAACGGAATAATTAATGTAAGGAAAAATATGGCGTAAAATATCGCATGACGCGTTAATTTTATCTTCATCGTTATGCCTGGCGCTGTTTACTGTTTCAAATCTGGAGTTTTGAAATTGTAAGAAGTCTTCACCGCGCGGATCGTCGACTCAAATTCGTAAAATTCGTTTTATCCTGGCGATCTTCAGCTGAGAAAAGAGATGACGCCCGGCGTGAAGTCTAATTAGGATGAAATTAAAGGATAAACGTGCTCGCATTCGTCGCGCCTAGCTTGTCATTCCGGTCCGCGTGTATATTTTGCTCTCTTCAAGACTGGAAGATAAGCACGTTCTCATCCCAATCTCTCTCTTTCTCTCTTTCTCTGTGTCGCGATATCATCTACACACCATCGTGAATTGAATCACACGGTAACAACCGTGCGTGCACAATAACGACGGCGACGGTGGCTTTCAGCGGCCTCGTAGGCGCCAACGGTGCGACACAAGAAAGGCAACGACCTCGAAGTTCCGATTTGCAAGGCGTGACGTAAAAGCGCGCACGTCAAAACGTAGACAGAGTATGCTGTTAATCGCGATGCCCCGAACGTATCGGGCCTCTCGATCCTTCATCCAACGCTACTACCTTCTCTCGCCGGTTTCCTTGAGAAAATGATTTTATTTTGCGCGCGATAAAGAAATCCTTCTCCGTTCGATTGTTTCCTCAAGTGTTGTACGGGAGAATTTTATAGTAAAGATTTGTAGAATTTTGTAACCAAGGAATTCTGCCTAAATTTATTATCTTTGTGTTTCATATGTGTTATTTTCATTTCAGGAGTTGAAGTATACTAGAAGAAAAGTGTTATGTTTCTCGGGAAGATAAACTCTATTGACTCAGTACTGTTCTGTACTGCTAGAAAAAACATAGTAAAATTGAAAAGAATTTATATGAAAAAGAAGCTACAATATTCTCTCCGTGTGTTTTCCTTAACCCTTTAAGTATCACCGGTACCAACAGGGATCACTTAGGATTGGGCAGTTGAATATGCATGTATAGTTTCTGACAATATTTCATTAAAAAAAATTACTAGAGTGTTCCATGAATTATGCGCCTTAAAAGGTTAATATAATTTTTTTGCTCTTAGCCTTTTACTTTATTTCTTCTTATATTTTCCATTAACGCCATCGTCTGCAGTAACTGAAGAAATCGAGAGGAAAATGTCGACGGCTCGAGCAAAGTGAACACGATGCAGTCAGCGCATCGTTCACGATGACGGTGTCGCGTTGCCGGCGTCGTGCGCGAAATATTAAAGGCGCACCGCGAAAGACCCGCAAGCGAACCCGTAGACCTTCGGGTGTCGTTAAAAGATTCTTGCTCAACGATGACCCGCATGTTCGGAACGATTACGTCTCCGTCGTCGCGTGCTGACTCACAGACGGAGAGGATATAACGCAGCGCGTTGTTATTGCTACATCGAGGCTCAGCCACAGGAGAAGCCATTCTCTGGCGCGGCGTGTGGCAGGTAATGGCCCGGATCGCCGTCGATACTTCCGAGTAGAGAAAAAATCGTCCTCTCAACGAGAGGAGCTCGCTTTCGCGAACTAATCGCGCTCGATCTCGCATCCTCCGCGCGATAACACGATACGAATCGACAATTACGCCGCGAACGAAAATCAGAAATAAATTTCACGCGAGCTGTGGTAATTTTGATCGCAGAATGCACGCGCAAACGAAGCTGTAAAGCAGTACTGAGCGTTTACGTGTAAATTATAATATTCTACATCTACATATAAACAATATAAACTGTATATATGAAGGGTCGTTTATGCAGACAACTAGTGATACATGAATGTCGTTTAAAGAATGTATTAAAAAGTCAATTAGAAAAAATTAACCTTTAGAATCTTGGTGGAAATTTATAAACGTTATGTTCTAAATGAGTTGGACTCCACAGAATCAGGAAACAACGTTTATAAATTTACATCATGATAATAAAGACACAAAAATGTTATTTCCTAAACAAGCTGGAGTCTATAAAATACTTTGACAGAGTTTTAACCACTTTGCCACATAATAAAATGAAAATGTCATGCAATTTATCTCTTTTAAACGTTAAGTTTGCAATTGATCCAGAACAGATATGATATAACTGTCTCGTAACACGCTTACCCTTTCTCGCATATTTGAATATAATTTACAATATTCTACACAAGATTTACACCGTCTATACATGAAAAACGACCGTGTGCCCATCACGTGGGAAATACGCAAACGATCCACATAGACATGATCTTGAAAACTACGGCACACAACCCTGAAGTAAAGTGCATCGCCCTCCCCGAAGCGTACGTCGACGTGAGGCGATTCTCGCGCGCGCACGAGGGCCACGGAAGAAGAATTCGTCGATCGCCGGGAAAATTGCAAGGGCAGAGAGCATCGCGGTAGAGAGAAAGAGAGAGAGAGAGGAATTCGAGGAATTCGGATGGAGGATTTTGCGCGAAAAAATCGCATTGATTACATTCAACGCGGTCGGCCAATTTGCTCATACGTGGATGCGCGGTCAGAATAGCGAAATGTTATCTGCCACGAACGAGCCGCTACCAGCCGATAATTTGCGGCGAAAGCCCGGCTCAAGGAAGAGAATGAGGAAAAGAAAGAAGAACGGAGCGTGATCGACGCGCTGAGATCTCGGCGCGTTCCTCTTCCTTGACGAGCGCGACGCGTGATGCGCATTTCCAGCGATTGCTCATTATCCGAGGAATGCGTCGCGGCTCCCTCATACTTTGATTGCATATCATTATTAATAAGTCATCTCACGCGCGTGCGCCTCTTCCTTGAGCCTCGGTACGCCACGGTGAGAGAGTTAATGAACACGAGCCCGCTTCTCTCCCACGTGGCTCGCTCGCCGGCGATTAACTACGAGGCGGAGGGATACCGTGATCGAGTTGCGAAACGCTACATCGGCGAGGTCGGAATTAGCAAGAAAGAAAAGAGAAACATTGCATAAACATCAGAAAAGAATTACGATAAGGCATTCCCAAGACCTATACGACTCTCTACGACGGCGCTCTCGTGTGTTCTTGACACTTCGAAACGTCACTCGCTATAAAAGGACGTTGATAACGTTTTTACCGCGGTGTGTGCGTGCACGTGTGCGAGGATGACGTTCAGTTTGTTCGCGTCCGGTCTCGCTGGCCAAACGTGTTCTCTTTAATTATTTTTCTCGAGTGAATTTTGTGCAGAGTTCTCTTTTGCGAAGAATACTAACACATTCGCAGACACTTTGTGCATTTTTCTAAAGCTAGATGCCGTATATTTAATAAAAATTATTAGAAAATTTGAAAAATTTTAGGAAAATTATTAGTTAAATTTAGTCTGTATGTTGCAAGATTCTATCGTTAAAATAAATAAAAAAGCTATAAAATTTACTTCGAAATACGTTCGTAGTCAACACTCACTGTCAGTTCACTTTTCTAAAAAACTGGATGCCTCATCTTCAATAAAAAAATTATTAGAAGAATTTAGAAAATTTATAGAAATTATTAATTGAATCTAGCTGGATCTCGCAACATTCTATCACTAAAATAAATATAAAAGTTGCAAAATTTGCTTTGAAATATGTTCGCCGCAAATGTGTTAATGACACATCGAGTGTGGAATAAAACTAGTAGTAAAATTTCCAAATTCACGATCAAGAAAAAACAGGAAGTTCGTGGACGAGGAAACGGTAGAAATCCGGCTGAATTATAGTACGAATTACGAGGAACTGAACGCTTCGGGACACATTGTACCCGCGGACGTAATGATCGCTCATCGTTCCAATTACGAAGCGTAATTGGACGTTGAGCGCGTGCAACACCTTGACGGTTTTGCGCGACCATGGACGCCGCTCGGCCTTCGTCGCGCGTTATACCCTTGCCAGCGCACTGTAGCCTGCGATCTTGGTGGTTTTTCCTACGTCGCGGATCGCGCAAAAACGCTCAGACACCACTCAGGCGAACTCAATTTCTCTCGGCGTGTCCGCCGCGCGAACTTCGAAGGTGTCGCGAGATCCGACCTGGTTGGGTGGGCAAAAAGGCGAGCTTTCGGTGAATTCGAGCGAATCGAAGTATTTGGCATTCTCAACGCAAAATTAACGTTAATCATACATATAGCGAAATTTCCCGTCATAAACTGCAATCCACGTGTCGATAAAAGATTGGCCGTTCGCAATTCGCGAACGCGTTTTACATTCTCGCTTTTTCTCTCTTCCGCTATTTAGCGAATACTAGCAACTCATTAGGAAGGAAGGCTCTGCGCATTTTCGACCGTGACTAGAGTCATGACAAGCGAAGTGGAAAGTTCAGTTTAGGATATCTCACCGATATTGACGAGCTTCACACCGTCGGCTTCGATGGCCTGCAACGCCGTGGACACGTTCTCCAGGTGGTGGTGCTGATTCGCCGGCCTGGGGTTCCACCGCGGTAGACGACGTTGCGTGAGCACCTCGACCAAGGCGCAAAGACGCGTGCCGTCCCTGAAGTCCTCGGCGAGGTCCAGCACGGGTCCGCCGCCCACGTCGCTGGCGTGTTTCAGGTGCTCGTTCACCCAGTTGCGGAAGGTGTTGGCCTGGATCTCCACCCAGAGGTCCTCGTGGCCCTTGATCGGCATCCCCTTGGCGGCCGTTCCCTCAGCTGAGCGGGCCACCAGGCCCACCAGCTGCTCCGGTCGCAACTGTTCGGTCGATTGCATTCTCGAGTACCTATCGGAGAAGCGAAAAGTGTTAGTGCTATTTGAATAAGGTATTCAACATGAATTATTGGTTGGAAAAGTAAAAATTAAAAATTAAAAAAGAAAATAAAAGAAAAAGCTAAGGAAAAAAGATTAAGAAAATATGTGGAAAAAAGGAAAACCAACGATTAAAAGGAAAAAATTTGTGTATGAACAACCAGATTGTTCTTTGGAACTTTTCTTTTATCGATAAAAACGTCTCTAAATATGATTGAAAGCCAATCAGAAGGCTTATAGGTCACATTTAGAGACACTTTTATCGGTAAAAGATATTCCAGAATAAAAACCTAAATATAAACTCTTAAATGTGTTAATTATACTTATGGATGCCCCTAATACATGCATAATTATGCCAATTCAAGTGTGTCACGTTAACATCGGCGAATCGACCGACGAATTCGAAGTTAATTCTGAATGTCCCTGATATTTGGTGATCGCCGAACTCGACTCGAAACGACAAAGACGCGGAGTTGTACGATTTTCGTTCACCTGCTCAACATCCACGACCTGTAGCGAATTGTCTCAATTAAATCACGCATGCGAACGTTAAGTGGCCGAGTGATTAATTATGAAATATCTAATCGCGTCCGCGCGCACACGGTCATGTAAGCTATCCGCGGGAGCGCAACCTTTAAGGTCGCGCCATCGGCGAGAAACTCGATTTACTCCGCTGAAAAAACCCACGTCGCTCTCGTGCATTGTGCATCCACGGAGCCGTCCGCGCGCGCGGCTGCTGAGGAGGAGGAGGAGGAAGAGCAGGAGAAGGAGGAGGATTAGCGGTAGAATTTCGCGCGGGTGAAAGTGCCGGTGCATAGATACCTGCATAGACACCTGCGGCGTCGCGAGTGCACGTACCTAGCCTGATCGTCCGCGTAATCTATTTCCGCGTCTGTCCCGCAGCCCGCGCAAATCGTAAATGCCGACGAACGAAGCATACACACTGCGAGAGACCCTGAGCTATGTGTATCGTCGCGTTGTTTACAATTCCCCGTCGGGTGATTGAAGTGTCTCGTAGACTCGGTCACAACAAACTGCGGCGTGCGCGGAATCAAAACACGCGGTAACTTCGAAAAGAACAAAGTCACCATCTGCCGCCGCCCGTGCAAACAATGAGCAGGATTCGTTAGGGAGAATACACACCTTAAACGGAAAACAGAAAGGCAGAAGCCAATCAGAACTCGCGCTGGTGGTCAGGTGGTAGTTTTTGCTTTTCTACCAGCGCGAGTTCTGATCGGCTTCTGCCTTTCTGCCAAGACGTGAGTTCTTCCTTAGATTGATATTTTTACGCCGCTATTCAAGATCAGAGCTTGCATTTGAGATCGTCTTAAATTTATCTTCAGATGCTTCGTAGTCAATAAAAAAATGACTTGAACAGCATCTGAGAATAATGTTGCAATTCTAAGCAGAATCGTAAGTCTCGTAACTTGTTCTCGTAAAATTCGTCAGAACTTATGAGTAGATTTACAAGTCTATGTCATATGTCGTACAATTACTCGTAAATATCTACGATTTCATGTAATTTACGATATTTACAAGTGATTGTACGATATATGACATAAACTTGTAAATCTACTCATAAGTTCTGACGAATTTTACGAGAACAAGTTATGAGTTTTACGATTCTGCTTAGAATTGCAGTATAAACCTAAAACACACAATCTTAAGTATAAGATCCGACAATAAATACCACTCTTAAGGCGTTCACATATATTTAGCTTGTTGTAAAAGATTTGTCATTTTTTCTATTAAATTCTAGAAAGGTATTATGAAAAATGTGACCAATAGTTCGCATAACGTAGCCTAGCACAAATATCCAAAATCAAGTCATAAGACGTCTTTAAAACGTCTTTAAGACATCTTTAAGACAATACCTTATAAACTTGTCCTAAAAATGTCTTAGACCAGTATTCATAGTCGAATCTTATTTCAAGACCATCTTTAGTAATGTCTTAAGATGCGAATACGGCTCTATGATTGGTTCATGACATCTTAAGATAGTACTTAAGATGATCTTAAATATAAGATCGGATTATGAATACCTTAAAGATGTTTTAAAGACGTCTTATGTCCCGATTTTGAATATTGTGCTGTCTGGGTAGTGTCCTTTGCTGGAAAACGGTCTTACTTAACAAAATCGACGAATCTTTTGCGCCACACAATTTAACACGATGACGTCATCAAACTCTATACATTAAGAAACGTGTTCTTCTAAGAAATACTTGCAATCTTTTTGTAAGATGCGTTACAAGTGTCTTTTCTTTTTTGATTCGACGACCCGCGCGAACCGAAAGCACCGGTTGCTAATTATTAAGTAGAGAAACGGCGTAAGAAAGCGTTGAAACGGAATCCGCCAATCACGATTATGCGAGCACTCGCGGAACATTTCGCGAATGTTCGCGTATTTATCAAGCAATGACTGAGCGCTTTTACTAACGCTGAATCCCCGCGGATTAAGTCGCGGTCTACTTTTTTTCTCTGGCTGGTGCTAAAGCCGCTACGCATCGACATGAAAAGTGTCGGTTTTGCTTTCAATACTTCGGCTGCCATCACGTTTGAACCCTTTGAACCCGTTATCCCGCTATAGAGCAATACTCATTCCGTGCGTGCGGAAAGAGATCTCTAGAATATTTGTAACATATATTTATATTTAGAGAAATTCACAAAATCTGAAGAATCTTTAATATAAAAATTGCACATATTCTGACTTCAGTTTTAACAATTTATGAAATAATTTCTAAAAGAATGAAACTATAAATGTCACCCCAGACAGCACAAAATTGGGTCATAAGACATCTTTAAAACATCTTTAAGACATCTTTAAGACAAGTTTATAAGGGATTATCTTAAAGATATCTTAAATACGTCCTAAAGACGTCTTATGACTCGATTTTGTACATTTGTGCTGTCTGGGACTTTGCCTAGAAGTCCAGGGTGTATCCCCGTGAGTCCCAAGAATTTAGGTTCAAAGCGTTAACGTTTAATCATCGTGAAGATCTTGCAATTAAAAACCGCGACGTCAACGGTTTCCCAGATGAAAATTCATGAAATGACATCTCCGTTATCGCAACCAAAAGCATTTGTCGGAACATTCAGCTGCGTCAAAAGCTGGCTGCAACAACAGAGAACAATTGACCGAGCAGAAATCTCCTGCAAGAACCTTTCTGTTCCTACAAACAAGTTTTTCATCCGCTCCTATTTCCACTGATGGGCGATGGAAAATTCAGTTATACCAACTAAGCCGTTTTCCCGCGGTGTGATCATGAACCTCTATGGACACGCGCGCCTCGCTTTTCCATTTATGCGTAATTCGCGGCACGAGCGGCGGGATTATTTCAATGCGATTCACCGTAGCATGACATCACTGTTGTCTCAAAGGCCCGTCTGACTGCGGTAATGCTTGCGTAAGAGTGCAAAAATTCGCGGCGGCTTGGCGCGCAGGCTTCGGATGCATTAACACGGCTCCTCCTGAGATCTCTTTCTTCCCCTCGCTTTCCCTCCGCGCGGCAGCAATTAAGGGCATAATTAAGTCATTGAGAACCTGGTTATTAATTAACCGCCCAGCTGGTAGATTTTTGATATATTGCGCATCAATGCGCGACGTATAAGGGTCCGATCGTGTTGTGCGATCTAGCTGGGCGCGATTTTAAATCTCGAGTTATAATCAAGAGAGAGCGAGAGGGAGAGGAGAGAGCGCGGCGCAGTGATACGATCTCGAGGGCAATAAATAAAGATAAATTCTAATTCGACGTAAGAGAGAAAGAAGAACCCGTGCAGCCGTTGAGACGTAACGAAACCGACGTGGGAAGATTCGATTTGACATAAGAGCAGATGTCTTTCGGTCCTATTGATTGAGATATCGCGCGTGGGATTAGACGATAGGACGTGGAGCACAAGAGACGTTTCTGGCGCTCTCAATCTTTCCCGTCTGCCAAACCTTCTACTGTTTACGAGCCGAAATCGTCCAGCACGTCTCAGCCACGTGATGTAATGTGTGCTTTTGTTTTCTCTGAGCGTCAATTTCAATAGACGGATGCACGGTGAAAAAATTTCAGTTCGTGTAAAGTAAAGGTACCACTGCCTGCATACGTACACTTAGTTGCAAAATAATTTAGACAAAATCAAGTTGGGATCGGACCAAACTGTCAAAATTAAATGTCATCGACGAGAATTGCACGATAATGATATTATTTATTATTATCATTAGTAATATATGTATGTATATATATATATATATATATATATATATATATATATATATATATATATATATATATATTAT